TGATTAAGGCTACAGATGTCTGCTCTGATTATGTATTTCAGAAGGTTTTTCTGTGATGAACTGTGAAAAGCCAGACTTGAGCAGAGGGTTGTGAAAGATAAAATAATAGCGCCTCGTCCCTGTGTCTGGCAGACCTAATGCAGTTACTCTCAGATCTTTTTAAAAACTTTGAGACAGAAAATTTGTTCATAGTCAATAAGATAGCCCTTTGAGCACAACCTGTTCTGTTTCCTTTATCAGTCTTTTCCTAAATTATTCACAAAGCTTTTTGCACTCCAAAAATCTCTAAACTGTGAATTCAGCAATTCCCAGACAATAAGGTTTAATAGGCATAAGTGGCATTGATAAACTGTTTATATGCAGTGTGATTAGAAAACATAGATCTTCTTAAGGGGGGAAAAGAGCACAAAAGAATAAATGTTCCATGAATTTGAGCTAAGCGAACTTGCCCACTCACCTTTTTTTGTGAATTTGCGTTTAGTAATAGAGCAGACAGACCTTTGTAAACCTGCCTGGTTAATACCTGCTTATTCTGGAAGGATATAATTGAATTATCAAGAAATTCAGTTCAATGATTTCTGTGATGTGTAAACATTTGCTGAGTTACTGCAGCACAACTAAAGAGTCATGGCTTTTTCTTTCTAAAGTAGTCATACACGTCCAGCTGAGATTTTTCAGGTGTTCTTATATCTCACCTTCTCCCTATTACAACATGTACAAAATGGACAGAGGTTCATCGGGCACTCTCATCTAGGTACCTGTCCCTCCACACCTCTGTATGCTCATCTGTCTCTACAAAAAACACTTTCAGGAGACATAGCAATAGGAACATGCTGGTTTGGAAATCCCAACTATATTCAAAATTCTCAAGGACTATTGTAACCATCCTGGAGGAGAAGGGGAGGGTGAAGGAGCAGGGGAAGGTGTTCCCCCTTGTCTTCCCCATAGATTGAGCCTCCGAGGAAAAAGGGTAAATAGCATACTTAACAGTTTCTGAGAGATGGTTCCTGAAGTACACAGATGATGGCAGTGCTGAGTACAAATACCAGATTAGTCTCATGACCAGTAATTTTATCATATCATAAGCCAGTGTTATACAGTGCAGCAAAATGATAACCTTAATCCAGCCCCCAGAGGTGACAAACAGCACAACAGGGAACGTATATGGCAAGTAAGGGGCTGCATAACACAACTCTGAGAACAAGCAGGACAACTCTTGAGAGCAAATAAATCAACACTGTGACCAGCGACTATTAAATTAGTAAAATTAATGCATATAATGATTTTTTTAACATGCTCTGGTCAGATCTGTTTTTATCTCAACCCTTCATGCCCCACATTGGGCGCCGAAAAGGACTGTTGGGATTTAACCTGGCAGGCAGCTAAACACCACACAGCCATCCACTCCCTCCCCTGCAGTGGGATGGGGGTGAGAACTGGAAAAAAGGTAAAACTTGTAGGTTGAGATAAAGATAGTTTAATAGGATAGAAAAGGAAGGCAAAATAATAATGATGATTAAAGAATATACGAAACAAGTGATGCAGGATGCAGTTACACACCACCTGCTGACCAATACCCAGCCAGTTCCTGAGCAGCCACCATCGTTCCCTGGCCAACTCCCCCCAGTTTTATTGTTTGGCATGACACCAGCTGGAATGGAACATCCCCTTGGCCAGCTGGGGTCAGCTGTCCTGGCTGCCTCCCCTCACAGCTTCTTGAGCACCCCCAGCCTCCCCATGGGCAGGGCAATATGAGAAGCTGAAAAGTTCTTGACTTAGTGTAAGCACTGCTCAGCAACAACGAAAACATCAGTGCGTTGTATACATCATTCTCATCCTAAATCCAAAACACAGTACTATACCAGCTACTGGGAAGAAAATTAACACTATCCCAGTCAAAACCAGAGCACAGAGATACAGTGAACTAAATGGGAATGCAAGCAACAGATCTAAAAACCTGAAAAGGAATAGAGGGTTACTGGTAGACAACTGATGTTTCATTAGCCAGAGTAATCCTGCAACCTATGTGAGTGCTGGTTGTATGAGAAGGATCACAAAACCAGATAAAATAAGTGTTTTGTTTCAGTCTGTCCTAAAGCTGATCATCAGATCCCCTCTGACTTTTGACAAAGAATTGTTTTCTTCAGCAATCTGGTTAACCTGTTTGGATTTATGGAGGCTTTTCATGCAGGACCTAGAAGATGCTATCCTAAACAGATGAATAGCCTTAAGAGTTTGGAAAATAAGTTGACTTATAATTTACTTCTCTCATTTTTCTTCCCTATTAATAAGATGGAAATTATAAAGAGAAGGGACTGTGCTGCTGCAGAATGATCCCATGGTAACTAATTAGGTCATCAGGTCTGCAAGGGCATCCTGTTCTCAGTCGTATGCCAATGTGCTGTAACCAGTGAGCCAAGTTGAATGAAAGTGTTATGAAATATGATATTTTACTGGGATGTCATAATTTATTTACCCTCCTTGCACTGAGGAATTGCAGGTAGTGGTATTCCTCCATGGATCACTCCTTGCAAATAAGCTTGTTGATGTTTGCATTAAAATGATCTGCTTGTCACTGTACTCCCAACAGTGGCCCTTGTTTGTGATATGTGATGTGAATTCGTTTCTCAGCTGGTGAGTTTAGGAAATGTATTAAAGAAGCCAGATGATATGTGAAGAGCTGTAATTAAAATTACTAAGGCATGCAAATGCCTTTCCTCCCTTCCGCTTTGATTTACGTTCTTCATGCAGACTTTGTTCACTTTGCTGGGTGAGCCTTAGTCCGGGTGTTGTCTGGTGACAGTGATTTCGGCTTTCTCTGCAGCACACTCCCACAGGGAGATAAATGCAGTAAGGATCCTGGCCGAGGTGTGACACCAGGTGTCGAGGAAACCCTGTGGTGTGCAGCTGGCCTGCAAAGCTCTGCGCTGTGGTTGCAGTGGCATCGTCAGTAAAGCAGATCTATTCAAGAGTGGTGGTTTTCACTGTCAGTAGCAGAACCAATAATCCTGTTCTCTTCCTTCTGGTACAGTCTTTCTTTCCTATCTCATCCCTTCTAAAATAACTATGCTCTAAAATGGAGATGTTTAAAGAATTCACCTTTTTGCATTGTATTATCTTACCTCACTAATGCACAAGTTATTTTCAGTGATGCTGGAAAATGAGTTTTGGTGTTTGACTGTGGAAGTGAACTACCAAAACCAGATATTGAGAGAAATACGCAAAGCTGCTTGAGGCAGAACAGTGGGTGCTTGAGGAAACCTCTTTTGTTATGCCAGACACATACACGTTGGTATACATTTCATTATTTTATTGCTAGAGAAATGTGTAACTGGTTCTGCTGCAATTCTGAGTGACCAAAAAGCACTTTTAGTTCATAGGTGAAAGAAAGGAAAATCGGATGTTAAAATTTACTGTCCCAGCCTTCTGCAGTAGGAAACAAAGATTTTGGATGGATAACCCTCTTGTAATTGTGTGGATTTTGAAGGTCAGGGGGTTGGGTCTGTTTTGCTTGGTTTTTTTTACTCAGCCTCTCATTTTTCTTGAGGTAAATGAATGTTTTCTATCAATATAGTATTTTTCTCTTGGAGACTATAAGGAGTTACAGCCAGCACAGGAACAGAAATTCTCCCCATAAAGACAAAAGCAGTGCTCAAAGGTGGTGTGACCTTGTGAACAGGGCTGAAATGGAGTTGGGGTATGCAGTTCTGTGCTGCTGGCATTGGCCTCAAGCATGGCAGGGTCGCATCGGTGCATTTATGCCATTTTGCTTCTCTGAGCCTCTTTCCTCCTTTGCATTTTGCTGGCTGTTACTGTGTTTTCTCATAGGATCTGCGTGCAGTCAGGACCCATTCAGATGCTGTCTGAAGTCATTACTCTGTTACCTTTGCGCTGCTCTGGGCCCAGCATTTCCTTCTCCGTGTCACGACTGAGCAAATCCGACCGTAGCTTCTCGTACAATTCTCCATATCTTCGCCTGTTCCTCAGTGCCTCCTGCAGATATAACTGATGTTATGTGCTGGCTGAAGGACTTCTTCTGATCTGGTCTTCTCATCTCTTCTCATCACCGCCCTAATACTGCTGCTTAGGATGGTGCTTCTGCTCCAGCTCTGCCACTCAGTTACCATTTCCAGCCATTCCCTTCACCATTTCTGTCTCGAATTGAAGCTCACACCTGTGATCTTTCATGGCCACAGCCCAGCTCATGTTCGTCTTTTCCTCATCTTGTTCTATCCTAACCTGTTTTTTCGTTTGGTTTAGGGGTTTTATTTTGTTTTTATTATTCACTTCTTCCACTGTGCTCTGTGCTTTTCAGCTTTCACATCTCTTGCTGGTATCACATCTGCCAGGCTTACATTGCTGTTTTTGCTGTTCCAACACCCTTTCCTTCTTTTGAATTTCTTCCAGCAGATCTTCAACATCCAAATAACCACGATTTACCGAGCAGCTATCTGTATTTTCTCTTGTACTTATTTTGGACTGTTAGATCTGTGGAGCATAGGATGTAGTTGCTGTCCTTTTTGATAAATTCCATGTAAACTTTGACCACACTGCAGATTATCATTAAAAGTAAATATCAGGCCTTTTACATCTCCAGTTCTAGTGTACTTTGTCAGGTGCAGGTGAGGTGCTGTGCTAAGGCCTCAGAACTGGGAATCTCTCCTCTGGGAACAAAAAGTTATGACTGATAGGTAGGGATGGGGAAGATACTCCCATGATAGTGCACATGCTTCCTACAGTGTGTATTTTCTTCTTTCTCAGCTTGTCTCTCCCTAATAGTTTATCTGCTGGCACCTACCGCAGGTGAGGATGGACTGAGTGACAGTCAGCCAGTCTCTGATTTGCGTGCATATGCTTTCAATAAGATAATTTTCCACAATCCAAAGAAAAAAGGAAAACTTGTTTTTGTCCCGCAGTGCGTTAGTAGCAAACACAGCATAGGTTAAGAGCAGTTTCATATTGCAACCAGTCTCAGGCTTCCTTTTCCTTTTGTCTTGCAGAGGTAGGCAGCGGCCAAGATTACGTGACCTCAGAAAACCAGCTGCTCTACTACCCTAGCATTACCTACGCTATCATTGGCAGCTCTGTCATTTTCGTGCTCGTGGTGGCCTTTCTCGCCTTAGTCCTGCATCACCAGCGGAAGCGCAACAACCTCATGACGCTGCCGGTGCACCGGCTGCAGCACCCCGTCCTTGTGTCCCGGCTGGTGGTCCTGGACCACCCGCACCACTGCAGCGTCACCTACAACGTCAACAACGGGATCCAGTATGTGTCCAACCAGGCCTACCACAGGCCAGTGGACCTGGACTCTCCACCCTCCTATTCAGAGGCTGTGCTCGACCAAAGGTACGTACAGAGGCTAATGCTGTGCTCACCAGTTTCACACTGTTGGTCGCAGCTCTGTTAACCTGTGCTTCTGCTCCCCATTTATCCTTATTACTGCTTTTGACAGAAGTACAGCGTTGCAAGTTTGTCACATGTGTAGGGCCAAATTTGGGCAAATCTGATCTGCTCCTGCATATGAAAAATTCATGGTCCTCAGGTTCCCTTTCTGTTACTGGTATTAAAGGAATTTAAGGCAAACTTAAGTCGTGCTCTCTTAGCACGTGTCGTTGGTAGTAGAGATATAAAATACAACCAAATGTGTCACTTGTGTCATAGTAATGTCCCGTGCCAGTCTGGAATCAGAACATGAAAACTGAATTTTGAGTTTTGCCAAAAACCAGCTAGGTTGTATGTCATACTGTATTGAAAATCACCCTGGTCATCTGATAAGCATATAAAGATACGAGGTCTTCAATTTACACATAGAAACATTGTATAGTCTCTGCTCTGCACTCCTTTCGCTTTACCAATAAAAGACCAGGACTGTGAAATGGGAAGTGATGTTCTCATTTTAAATAGCTGAAAGTGCTTTGAAGTTTTGTGGATGGCTGTGGTTTGGGCTATGATGTTTTTATAGCTATGACACTGGTCTTATTTGTAGATAATTAACCTTCATTTTAACCTCTGTCTGTCAAGTCTCTCCAAACAAAACTCCTCTGTACATATAAAAGGCATGGTATGAACTTTAATGATCCAGATTGTTCACTGTCACCCTGTTGGTACTTTCTAGTACAAACTCTGGGATCTAAGAATGGTAGTATAATCATTCTTACTCTTTGCTGCAGCAGACGTTTGGCAGCAGCTCCCTTGTCTTATGTTGACATTCATAACAATGATATGTTTTCATTATTAAGGACAACTGAATGTGCAGCTGTCCAGATTGTAATCACTTCTCACCTGGGCTGATAAAAATCATCAGCAATCTCAGAGCTGCCAGGACCTGTTATCAATCTGCTGAAGCCTTCAGTCCCTTTACTTCTTTACTGTCAGAACCAAAAAAACAGGTTTCCTGAATCCAGTACTCATCTTGTCTATTCCTACTTAGCAGTTGCTCTGCATGTAATACCATGACACCAAAAGTGATTTGTCACGTGGAGAATTCCGTTTGTTATTTATCTGTGGACCCTAAGACATTAATCTCTGCCGCTTAATGGAAGATTTCTCAGAGCTTTCTTGTGTTCACATAATTATCTATAGGTGTAAATCCACTACTTACTTAGTAGTGCTTACTTAAAGTGCTTTCTCACGTGTAAGTGTTATACAGGAAAATTCTTACCTCTTGCATCTGTCTTTGAGGGTAAGCTGAGACTTGTTGGATGTGCACACCCATGAAAATGGGAGTGTAGAGTGTTAAGCTGGATGTAATTAGCTATGCTGCATCTTGACGAGAAACCTTGGTGCTCAGTGGTGGTGTGGATGTTTTGGAATGACCTGAATACTGTGGGCAGGTCTGTTTGAGCTCTCCTGGTAGGTGTCATCAATGGAAAAGCTAAGAAATACAGTTTGGGTTTTTTCGATAATTGGAAAACTATGTATTTTCTCCCATACTGCTGTTTTCAATAACCTCTTACTATGTTGTGTATATTACAGCAGACCACCTTGGTTTGACCTTCCTCCCCCACCTTATTGTTCTGAATCTGAGTCCCCCAATCAGCTGGATCTTCCTCCGTACCGATCTCGGACAGGAAGCTTGGTGAGCACAGACAGCCCCGTGGCAGGAAGCCCTCTGGGCACCGCTGGCCAGAGAGACAACATGGCAAGAGACAGCATGGATGGCCACAGAACTTTTCTCGAGAGGACAGCAGATCCAGGTGTATCTCTGGTCAACCACATTGCTGAAGGAGAGGTGTAACTGCTCCAGTATTTGGAATGGGCACAAAGACATCTACTTTTTCAAGTCTGTATGGGTTAATCTGCTGTGGCTAATAGATTTTAAGGGGACATGTGCCTGAATGATGACTTGATGTGAATTCACACTAAGTTAACGTTTGAATTCAGAATTTTGGGCTCATCAAAGGCAGCTGTGAGAGCTAAACCTAGAGACCCATCACTCTCTACAGTATTTCTGCAAGCAAGTTCCCGTTCAGACAAGTAAGAGAAGCATCAGTGCTGTGTCCAACAGCTGATGTGATGTATTTCTTGGACTGTTTTCTGTATATTAATGTATATATGTGCATGTATAATATATACGGATGTTGCGCAGAAGGACTCGTTTTCAGAGCGCCTCCTGTCCTGTTGACGTGTGAACTGTTCCTTCTCGCTGCCTGGTGCCAACTGGTGGTCAGAGAAGCACACGAGAGACAGTCTTTCTGCTTGGGGGTCTGGTGCCCAATGCGAGCCCCCTGGCAGTACTCGCATTGCAGAAAACGTCTTCCTTGACCCCTCTCTTCATGGCCTGGAACATTCTCACTGTGAATGTAATTTTCAGAGTTTGAGCTTGTGAGGATGCAAGAACTCTAACTGAGCAAATGAGGGTTTTTTCCCAGGTGCTAATATCTAGGCCAAATTTGCATGGGTTTTCTCAGAAAAAGATTGGCTTATCTGTCAGACTTCAGACTACAGAGGCACTGAAGCTTCTCAACAAAACCCAGCACAAGAGTTCTTTTCAGGTGTGGTAAAACAACATTACTGCCTGTGTTCCTTCTTCAGAAACAAAACAGAAACCAAACCACAACCAAACAAAAAAATCCCAACCAAAAAAACCCCTAAACTATTTCAGTGAAATCTTGAACACCAAGACCACCCTGAGACAAACACCAATCACAGAAAGCTTTAGTGTGAATGACTGGTTTGTTCTATGTGTAAAATAACTGAAAGCCGGTCATGTGGTGAAAGGTGTTTGGCTTGTCAGCCCTGTCTGCAGCCTGTAAACACACATGCACGGACACACGTTTAATACTCTGTGTGTGTAAGTAGTGTACTGCATAGGTTTAGTTCTGCTGCACCAGCAGAACTCTCAGATGTCCAAGTTTTACTTATGATATTCCTGTTGTTTTTTATGGAGTTTGCCATTATTCCTGTTCATTTGGTTGAAATTCTAACTTCTGCAGAAAACCAGAATTATTTGCTTCTTTTGTCCTGGCTCTTGGAATGGTTTCCTGTGAAGTGTGTTGCACTGCACAGTGTTGAATTACCCATGTGAAAGCCTCTCAGAAGTAGAGGTATTCAGAGTGCAGGACAGAAGGTGAGCTGTGAATTTAAATGCCACTGCAGTGCTGTTCTTGTGCTCAGTTTACAGAAAACAATGCAGTGTCTTCCTCTTGTCCAGAAGGGAACTGACCTTGAAAAATTATTTGTATTTGTCTATCAGATACATTTCTCACTCCTTTTATTGTAATGAATAGTGTCACTAATCAGACTTTGCTGTTTAATGGAAATGAAGCTGACAGCCCACACTGCTTTCTTCCTCCCCATCTTTCTAAGGTAACTTCTCGTGCCCAAAGGTGATATGCACAGAACCCAGGAATTTTTGAGCTTGAGTGTAGGTAAGGGAATGACTCAAGTTCAATCTCAGTTCCCACACATGCACCTGGAAGTTTTTTTGTCGTATTTTTTTTCATTTCCAGCCCTGGAGTCTGCTGCCATGGTGTGTAAGAGGCAGGGGCCAGATGGATTTACAAGCACAGTGTCACAGTGGGGAGCACTGGAGGATGCTGATGCTGACTGGGCTTGGCTTACTTTGGAAACAGATTCATGGCAGCCTTTCAATACAGCCTTGGGCAGCCTGTCTTGAAGTGCGTTGGTGAAGATGCCTCTTTCCTTGTAAAGCAATGTCCAGGATTGGGTTTGATTTAATCCTTGCTGGGAGCTCAAACAGTGTAATGATGCTGTCCTTCACAAAGCAGGACGTGGGTAATTAATGGCTCTGTCTGACTTGATAGGCAAACTGCTGTCATTGTCACATAGCAGACAGTTGTTCTTTGTTTTACAGGCAGGCTGAACTCAGGTTCATGGCTGAGTTAATAGTAAAGGTGGGCGCCGCGGTGTCTGCTGCGAGCACTGGGCCCTGCTGTCCTTGTTGCCTTTCATTAAGGTTCTGCTCAGCCTCTAAGAGAGCTATGCAATGCTGTATCAAAATTAGCCTTAATGTTTTTCTGTTACAGTTTTTTAAAATTTTTGGAATTTAAAACATACTATTGAAGAGTCTGCAGTAGTTTCATTAGAATGAGACGACTTCTTAATTTTGAAGTTGCCTAAGGCTCTGCTAATGAAACAAAATCATTGTGCCCAGTGTAACTTACGTGGCACGTGTCCCTCACACGAGGCTTCCACAGGGGGCTGCATTGCACCACGAGCACCCTAAGACACCAGGGTGTGCGCAAACCAAACGTTGTTTGCCTGTGGCATCTGAAAAACATTGCCTTGCATTGCTAAGAAGTAGGAAAAGAGTGGATATTGCCTGCTTCTTCTGCCTTCTGTGTCACTGTCATATGTACATATATATATACATAT